TCTCTCTCTCTCTCTCTCTCTCTCTCTCTCTCGGCACAACAAACCAAGCGACGCGACGACGGGGCCGCGGAGCTTTTCCGCTTGTGTCGTTGAAGCTGCCGAACTACGTTTCCCGACGTGCTCCACTCTCAAGGCGCCGCCGCTGGCGGGATCCTTTGCCATGACATCATCGGACGGGGCGGAGCGAGGAGGGCCGGGAGAGGCGCCCCTCGAAACCACGGCAACTGTGCATCAACAAAGAGTGTTCGAGGGCGGGAGGAACCAAGCGCTGCGAGCATGGAGGGCTGGGAAGAGAGGGGCGAAGGAGGCGGTCTTTCCTGCTGAGCCAACTAGCCTTTCTTGCGTGGGGGAGGGAGAGCGAAGGAGGGAGGAAAGCGCGAGGGTGAGTTATCTGTCGGAGACCCCGAGGAAAGCGGTAGCTGAGGGGAGCCTTTTGCAAGCTGGCGCCCTCAAGTCCTGGCTGCGGAGCGCCCCATCTCCAGCCAGGCTGAGCCTGCCCATTGGTGCCTGGGAGCCAGAAAGTTAAAGGAAGGGAGGGCATCCCAAAATGCCTAATTCCCTCCGGGTATCCCCTGCCAAGCCCTCGCTTCCAGGCGTCCTCTCCGTGCTTAGCGTGTACCTCGTATCTATTTGATACAGCGGGCAGAGGGATTCCATAGTTAGATTAATGTACTAGTTTCGTAAATCTGCAGTGCTTTGGGGGAAGGTGCAGTAAACTGTTGTGCAAAAAAAAAAAAAAAGTGTGGCACAGCTCGTGTATTGGTACGACTTGCACGGGGTGGGGTCCAAGAGGATTTCAGGCACCCTTGCGATTCGCAAACAGCTGATACAGTAATTCAGTGAATGTTTTGGTGAAGCTTTTTTCTTCTTTTTCTTTTACTGCTTGACCCATGACTGGAAGGCCGGGGTTTGGTCTTTATTCAGACTCGTGTCAGGGATCCGAACTTGGCCAATTTCACAGGAAACGCTTAGGTTTTCAAGACTAGCCACAGCTGTAGATTACTGTAAGGGGGTAGGGTTCAGTAAAAGCTCTCCAGTTCTATATGGTTAGGTTAGGTTTAAAATACCAGGCTTTAAAGGTTGTCCCAGAATAATCCCAGAATAATCTTTAAATCTTTTGATTTATCTAAAGTTTTCATTTTGATGAAAACTTTAGATAAATATATTCCAATGAATTTATCATCAGAAAGTTCTATTATGCTGTGATTGTAAAAAACAACAAACCCCCCCCCCATTTTCATTGTGCTCTGTTTGAAAAAACACTTTTTCAGAAAAGCATATATTGAGTTGTAAAATAAATATACAATTAATCTAGACAGGGATACTTACCACACTTGATCTTAATGAAAAGGCTGAGAAGCAGTAGGGATACCTAGAGCTTGTCCTTTTGCCGGATACATGTCCTTTTTGCTATTGTATTTTATTGGTTTGAGTCTTTGGAATTTGAATATGAAGATAAGGTAGAAAAGTAAAATACCTGGAACTTCATATTTAATGAGATTTTTGATATTTGCTGTCCTACTTACACCAGTTCTTTAGGAACATTGGATTCACAATCATTGTTTTGAAGTCAGTAATTTAAAGAATGAAGCATGTAAATGTGTATCCCTTTTCTTTCTAGGAAGTGTAAGACATCTGAACATTTTCTAGAGTAGAAAGTTACCATACAGAAGTAAACATGCCTTCTGAAACGGGAAAAACAGACATGGAGAGGATTGGCCTCTTCAGTGAAATGGAATATATTACCATTGGTGATAAATATGCCTCACCATTTAACCGTAAGTACATTTTTTCTGTTGTATTCATCAATACAGGAGCATGGACTGACCTCATTGTACTACAAGAAGGGCCTTCCCTACATTTGACAAATCCAACATGTGGGATGGAACATGGAGTGGAGCTAAGATGGGATGGCTACGGTAGATTGATTTACCTTCACAAAATACAAGGCAATGACACTGACACTGTCTTTATGCCTGATATGTTTATAGATGTCCTAGTTGACACCTAGATGATTAATTTAATTCAGGGTGCCACTGTAATTCTCTGCTCTTGCTGTATCCCCCTAGAAAACTGGCATATTAGTCAATTTTGTTCTAAATGGCTCTTATTCTTTGCCGTCTCTATTTATCCCTAGTTGCTTTAATTTTACATGTTGCTTCCTTGTGTGTCTAGGATCCTTCTATAGATTTGGGGAAATGTGTTTTCAATACTTTATTATCTGGATGGATATCTTTTCTTGTTTGTCTGTTTGGATAATTTCTTTAGGAGTAGAAGTTAGACTTAAAGGATTTTCATTGGGGGTTTCAGATAGAAATGTGTTATTTACAGGTTTTATGCTGTCCTAATGGGACAGACTATGTTTTGTTTTTGCTTGGTTGTTTCTTTTCAGTGTTCTCTGTAAGATAGTTATTCATATTTTAGGCAGTGAGATTTTCGAACTCTTGGGAATGGAGCATTCTCTTCTCCCTACAATGGTAGAACTAGCTTTTCTGATCTGTAACATCTACCTTTGGGAACAAATGCTGAATCTTTAAGGAAAAAGACCAGGTTTGAACAAGTATTTTTTCGTTCAAACCTCAGCATAATCTTTTTAATGGTCATACATGATGATTTGTATTGAAAGCTGGTTCTTAGAGCAAGTATTGAAAACAATTCATATGTTTTCATATTCAAATTCAAAACAGCTCATATGCAAAATATAAAGCAAAGTAAATACAATCTTCCTTGAGTGAAACTCAACTCTGATGACTTTATAGACATTTCCATGCAGTTTTTTAGCTGCTTTCTCCATGGCAGAATTTAAAACAAAGGGTGCTATAATAATTGAATCAGTACTAAAATCGTTTTCTTATTTTAAAGGCCCTTTTAATGAAGCTGCAAGCAAGAATAAACAAATGCTACCCGGTGGTAGCAAAGAGAAAGGAGGCACCCAAGCAGGATATTTTGATCTTCAGTTTTCACGGGTTTTTGAAGGTGAAAGTTATTCAAATCCTGTTCAGTTAAGGAGAAGATACCGATTGGCTGAGTCAAAAAAAAACCTGGGAAGCAGACCTTTTCTTCCCAGTAATGGAGAGAAATTGCCGTAAGTTCTGGAAAAGATATTACTGTAATATAAATGCTATATGGCTTTTGTCTACTTATATTGATATTTTCATTTAAAAACATACTTTAAGGATACCTTTGATATCTAAGTTGCCACAAACCTGGCAGGATATTTCATTTCCTGGTAAACAAATATTTATCACTGGATCTCTGCTTCCATATTCTAATAATTCTAACCTTCTTTTTCTCCAGATTCCCCCTAGTGCCAAAAATACCTTTCTTCCTCTGAGATGGCTTATTTTAATTTCTGCCAATTTTCTTAAACATCCCAGAAGTCATTTCTAGGAACCACTCTGAATATGAAAGATGGGAGTGATGGGCACATTTTGAAGGATGTAGGGAAAATCTATGGAGATGTTTCTCTGATTCTGAACTACCATGTGTTATAGTTTAATTCCCATATTCCACAGTGGACCATGGTGGGTGGGGAAGGATGGGAAGAAATCTGGCATATGCAAAGGATACCAGATTGGGGAAGACTGCTCCACTTTTGCATAACAAAGGTATCACCAGGAGAGAAAGGATTACCTATAATACATTGGACCAGAGCACTTGCTCTGAAATGGTATGAGCAAGAAAAGAAAAATCAAACAGCAAAGTACAACACAATAAGCAGCCAAAAATAGGTTGGATCCATACTGTGCTAAGTGGCTTATTTCATTTTCCTTTAGTGTGATATATAAACCCAGCCACTGTGGTTTGCATACCATGGTTTATGGTTTAGTTTGCATATGAGGGACAAGCTTTTTTTTTTTTATAAAGGCTCCCAAGGGCTGCTGGGAAGTGTACAGTCAAAACTATAGAATAACTGATGGCTTATTTCTGCAAGCATACCAGATAAGCAAATAAAGTAAATTGTGGTGTGTCTATCATATTTTGGCTATGCAATCTGAGAGAGCCTGAAAGGTCTCAAAAAGGGATCTGGGAGAACTGCATCTACGTTGCTTGCCTCTGGCTTAGTATTATGAATGAATCCAGGTATAGAAATCAGATTTACGCTACAATGTTTACCTAACCAGGGATGGGCAATTTTTCCCTGTCAGGGAATCACCTCTTGTTTTTTCTAAATAAAGGTAATCAAAGTTGGCATAAAGTAGCATAGTGGCCTCATCAGAGAGAGCAGGGCTCATTTCTCCATCACTTTTTTACTGTTTAGGAAGTCTGGGGGGTGATTTTTGCCAAAGGAAGAGTATTAAATCTAATAAAGACTTAGTGCACCTATTTTCCCCTCTTTCTTTGAAAAAAAAAATGCTGCAGAGTTTTTGGTGTTCCAGAAGCTGCAAGAATGAACATAGGGGCTGAGTGTGGCCTGAGGATTGTCTACCCAATCTAACCTATATACTTTAAAGCAGATTCCAATATGTATATGTGTCTATTCAAAAGTAAGTCCACTGACTTCATTTGGCCTTAATTCCAATTAAGAGTAAATATCATTGCACTTTAATGTATTTTTTTAAACACAGGGCAGTCACTCTGAATAGAACAGATATACTGGGATTGTAACTAGTTTATCTGAAGCAAACAAATAGCTTATGTTACAATAAATTGCACATTTAATAGGGAATGCTAATCTCTATATTCTTTCTGTATCTCAGGTGTGGTATAGGAACATACTATGGAACAATTGGTGGCCCATGTGCCTACTTCAGTGGTCAATCAAAAGATAAGATTCCATATGTACAACCAGGGAAAAATCTATATACCAATCCAGGGAAGAAAGGAACTGGCTATGGGTAAAACATTCCAGAAGTATAATATCAAATATATCATTTTTAAAATGTAAAAGATAGTTGAATGTTGCTGTTAACCACTGTTTTATTTTGGTATCTAGGTATCCAAATCTCACCATAGGTAAACCATACATGCATTCAGTTGAATTATATGACATAGGAAGAATAAATTTTAAGGTAAAATTCAATTGAATTTCTATTTTATTTTATCTAGATTGATAATATAGTCTATCCTTTCTAATTGGATCTTATTTTACATCATATCATAAAATTATACATCATTAATCTTTCTTTGATAAAGAAATAAGAATATTTTTGCATATTATTTCAATATATGTGGAAACTGTATATTCTGTTTTATTAATTTATTAATTATTATTTTCCAATCTCAATAGTTAAATATTTTTGATGTCATCAATATGGTAAGTGGTTGGATGGTGGGTCTTTGCACCTCTCATTGTTAAGATTGACTCTGTCAGCCAAAAAATTATGGATACTGTCCCAGAAGTGGTGTGGACTGCATTAGAGCCATATATGGATTAAACTTGTATCCTTAATGTGAAACCCTGTTATGGAAGGCCCCTTTAAGTGGTGAAGGAAGGGAAATAGGGAAATCCATACTGTTTTTTATTACTACAGTGAAGAACATTTCCTTCTTGTACATATTTGCTTTGATGTTGTGATGACTGAGGTCTTGTCTTCTACATACGTTGCTACAAATTGTTAATCTTCGGATATAAATATGTCTCTAATGCTAATTAATACTAATTTCCTACCACTTACTGCATTTATAAATTCAGAAATGCAATCCCATGTACGTTTGCTTAGGAATAATCACAGCTGAATATGGCTTACCCTGAAGTAAGCGAGCACAGAATTACAGCCTTAATCTTGTCTCTAGCTTTAGATAAGCAGTTGGAGAATCCAGTGTGACATCTTCCATTTCTGATTTGCCCAGAAAATATCTGAAGAACATCGTCATCTGATGAAAGGTGGACCATTCAAGCTAAATCTCTTTCCCCGAGAATATTTTGATATGAATCCTTACCATGATGACAAGCCGTTGCCTGCACCAAAAAAGCCACTTACAAAAATACCAGTTCAACAACCTTTTAAACCAAGCTCTCCAGCTAAAAAGGTGTGGTTGTTAACAAACTTCTCAATAATTTTTTATTGCAGATATTTTCCTTTAGCTAAGAAAAGATGATATGTGTGGTATTTACTGCAATGTAGTGGGCTATATTTATGAGGAAAAAAATAAAATCCCACGTAATTTTGGAAAATAGTATGTCTATGGAATCATCGTAGCTTATTCAGATTTAATCCAAATAGAGATCTAAGAGGTGACCCATCCTGGAACCCCTTCCTTCACAAGGTGCAGTTAGATCTAGGAAACCATAATTAGAAATAAAATCAGCAACAAGAACCAAAGAAAAATTTCCATAGATGCTCATCTGTGATGAACCAAAACCAAACACACACTGTCATGCTTAATGTGTTGTATGAATCAAACCATTATGGTTGTAAACCATGGCTTTTGGCTAGCATATTGTTTGAACCCATTCAGGTGCAGTGTATTCAGTAACCAAAGTTAAATTATGATTTACTGCAATGTGTGTAGCTATAATTGTGTATTAAATCAAGGTTCCTGCCTTAATTTTACATCCCAGTGTGGCTTAAGCAGAGTAGGTAGCCATGAATTTAGATCAGGAAGACCTAAGTTCAAATTTCTGCTTGGCTGTCAGGTGCACAAAGGCTGAAGTACTGTTCAGTACTGTTTCTAGCCTTCCCTCACAGTGTTGTTGTGGAAGTCAGATAAGTACATCTTGAAGGAAAAATAGATTATTGTGTTAACTAAATTAGGTCATCTAGTATTTGGCTAATACTATAATTCAAATGCTACATTAAAACGATAAAAGATTCCTTCAGGTTAAGCTTGACTCTTGGTGACTTAGAGTATGTTCACACTGTTACCTTGGCAATAGTACAGAAATGGTTTACAGTCACCTTTTTAGGATTTTTTCCCCCTAGCCTGGCCTATAGCCCTGGCATTTCGTAGTGATGCCACATCCAAATACTATTCAGGACTGACCCTATTTATACTATATTTATACAAGAGGCCAGCCCTTGTAACTCTGTGATTCTCTGAGAAACATGATGCTGTACCTTCATATTACTTTGCACCCAGCTCAATAACATTGCTAAATCCATACATAGTGTTTGGTGTGGGTGAAGTATTCTTTCCTAAGTCTGCAGTATTTAACATTTCTTCTTGTCCTTCTAGCCAGGAGGGATGAAAGCAGGCACGTTTGATCCATTTCCAACCCATACTGCAGACCCATATGGGGTTAGGTTGCCCACGGCTGTCACAACTAATAAACAAGGAACAGTGTTTCACCCTAACCCTGGTACTAAGAGCAGACCAGTAAGAAGTATTATGGCCTTAAACATTGAAAAGTAAGTATTGCCTAACTGCACTATTTAATTTCTAGGAAAACTTCTGCAGTAGATATGCTCCAACCTGGTAGCTGTTCCCTTAATTTCTATATATTGTTCTATGAAGACTCTCTTGCTATTTACTCATTTGGGAGGGAAATGTGTTTCAGATGGGTTGAAGAGTTTTTGTTCTATTTTATGTAGTTGAAGCTTGAATCCTGGCACTGGTGAATAATAGAATAATTAAGTGCTGTTTATTTAAATGTGGTGTCCTGGTAGAATTGTTGTTGTTGTTTAGTCGTTAAGTCGTGTCCGACTCTTCGTGACCCCATGAACCATATTGCGCCAGGCCTTCCTGTCCTTCACTGCCTCCCTGAGTTTGCTCAGTTTCATGCTCATTGCTTCAGTGATGCTATCTAACCATCTCATCCTCTGCCGTCCTCTTCTCCTTTTGCCTTCATCTTTCCCAGCATCAGGGTCTTCTCCAAAGAGATCTCTCTTCGCATTAGGTGACCAAAATATCTGAGCTTGAGCTTCATTATCGATCCTTCCAATGAGCAATCAGGGTTGATTTCCTTTAAGATTGACTGGTTTGACCTCCTAGCAGTCCAGGGGACTCTCAAGAGTCTTCTCCAGCACCACAGTTCAAAGGCATCAATTCTTCGGCGCTTGGCCTTTTTTATGGTCCAGCTCTCACAGCCATAGCCTGGTAGAATTAGCTGACCCTAATAAAATCATTAAGAATCTACACTGTGCCTGACTTATTAGGCCAAATGCACTGTAACTCAAAACAGTCATAACAAAACTTCTTTACATACGTACCTACCCACCTTTTGGGGCGTGCAGCCCTAAGCAGAGCACTGAAAAGGAGTAAGAAATAGTAAGTCAAAGAAAAAATATGACATAAAGAAAAAAAAAAGGAAAGAGCTAAGACTAATTTACACTAACACCACTCACTATGCTGCTCTGTATCTTTCTATTGCAACCAGTCCTTGTTTCCACCAAACCCATTTACTGCTTCATCCATTGCCTTTCATCCTCACTTCTTTGAAATGAAAAATGTGTGTCTCTAAAGGCACACAGAAAGCAAGAATATTAGGTTTATTTTTATAGGATACCTGTTTTACAGGCCAGATCTGCACTTAACATCAGTCTGTTTAAAGCTGCTTTGAACTCTCCAAGGCTTGACATTCAAGAAATTTGCTTGCTAAGTAGTATGTGGTTTCTCTCTTTGTGCAAACATCTGCAAGAACGGGAGCTGAACCCCCCCTCAAGAAATAGCTTATCATAGAACCTGATAAGCTGATGGTAACTTTAATGAAATGGCTATAACATGAAGATTGCCTAACTTATATTCTTATTCAGGCAAATGAATGAATATTCAGTCCTGTCAAATAATTTAGTGGTTGTCATACCACATACACACACACACCTACCTTCTTTCCTGCTTTGCACCTTTTGTTAGCTACCAAGGAAGTGTGATGCTAATCCAGTATGATGGAATACAATGAGTTATGAGAAATAGAGTGGGAGAAGAGGAAATTTATATTCTGGAAAAATAAACATAAGCCTACGTCACAAAATATTGCTATACTGAGCAACTGGCTGAAAAAAATCTGAGAGAAAAATGTTTGGGGTCAGTGGCTGAAAGCAAATTGCTTTTAATCTGAACTTCATAGGATCTGAGTTAGAAAAAAATGCTGTATTACATTTGATTGAAGAAAAAAAAAATCAAAACTTGGAGTATTACTAGATAATCCATAAGATCCAGAATAGTAGATTTCAGGCACTCTTGAGAAGGGAATTTTTACCTGGGGAAAATAGAATGTATATATCAATTAAATCTTGTGACACTTCCTTGCATTTACATTTCAGATCATTAAATGCAACTAATTACACGAATCCCCGTGTGATGTCATATTAGCTGCACAAAAGCAAGGTGAATGAACTTTCTGGACTGCAAACAGTAACAGCTCAAAGAAATAAAAGTTTTGTGGCTGAGGGAAATGTGTTAGATATAGCTATCTACCTTGAGGGTTTTATAAATATAAGAACTAACTGATAAGATATTTACTGATGATATGTATAAAATGTAAACTAAAATTTGATATAAATGTTATTTAAGTTGTATGTATCAGATAGTAAACATTATTTTTTGGTTAAGTTTTTTTCCTACCTTGAAAAGAACAAATACTATTATTCATAGTTGTCTTGTGTCTTTTCTTTAATCTGAACATAGTAATTAAATAATTGCTCTATTAAAAAAAAACTTCCCAGAATTCTAAATGCTCTAGAACGGAAACAAGTAATAACAACCAGGGCAACTATACACTGAAAAAAATCAAATATTCTTTAGGTATTTAAAATGAAAGCTGAACATTCAGCTTCATAATATCACTGAGAAACCAGACTTGCTGGCCCCTTCCCCTTGACCTATAGCTCTTGAATATTTGTGGTGAGTGAAAAGTCCAAGTTTTCCTTTCACTGTCCTCCCAACCGTGTGCTATGAAAGTCATCCAGTGAGCTATTGAATCCCACAGTTTGTGGTGGAAATGAAAAGGAACTAAAGAATCAGTGGCTATTAATCATCACGTCTGTATTTTATCTCCAGGAAAAGAGTTATCTGTCTCCAAATACCAGTTCTGGGAAGCATCAGCAGGAGAGAGCTGTTCCCTTTCTTTCATACTAATGAGCATTTCTGCTGGCTTCTGATTGGTTGCTGTAGGAAATGGGATGCTGGATTACTTAAGTGTTTTTGATCCAACATAAGTCTTTCTATGTTAAAGCTGAAGCCTGTGCTCATGCAGAAGTAAACCCCACTGAAATCATTGCAGAGTCTTTCTGAATAGGCATATATGTACTTGGGCTGAATGACCACCTATGACACTTTCATTCTCATTCCAATCCAAAGACAATATGTACCAGCTTTGAAGGGAATGCAATGTAGGATACAACTTGAGATTCAGTTGGACTTTCAGTGGGTTTATCTCTTGAGCTGAGTTGTACAGAACTGGGCTATTTGTAGAATTATTGACAAAGTGCTTATAATTATTTTAAAATAATATTTCTGACTGAGATGCTATTAGTGGCTTATATGATACAAGAATTTTAGGTGACCTGCATTAACATAAATATAACATTTTGTCTCCTCTGTGAAAGAGTAATCTCTTCTAAAATAATGCATGATCTAAAATTATACCTGTCTTTTTATAATTAACGCATAGGTACTTTTCATTGATTAAAACTCATGATTAACCAAGATGTTTGAATAACAAACCTAGTATTACATTTGTCTGGTTTAAATTTGTTTTGCTCTAACCATGAAACTAATGTATATAACAGCATTAACATGAAAGCATTCTTGGTTGATTTAAGTTTTAACACATTATTTAAATTTTAATTTCATCAGAAATGCTATTGCTTCCAGTTTGTAATTATTTATATATACACACATGTATGAGGTTCTCTTTTCCATCTACCACCAGAGATTAATTTATGTTTCTATAAGTTGTTTAATTTCTGATAGTTAAGCCCTTTATTCTTGAGTTGAACATTCAGAAATACATTTCTTTCTTAACTTCTTTGCTCAGAATTTCAGAGCACTAAGGAGCAGAGCAAAAAGTACTGCATTTCTTCCACACAGTAACAGGAAACCCCAAGTCACCAATGGCAGAGATGGCACAGCTGAATGAAAAAGTATTGTAGTGACTTTGCCATGACTTGTCTCTGTATTGAGTTCCTCTTCCAGTTTCCTTTGATTGGGAAAGTAGTTAAAATAAATTAAGTTCTAAGGAAGGAGCTATATTGATGTGATTTCTACAGATGTTAGGATATACAAGATTTCCCCACTGGAAGGATAGCCCAAAGATGCCTTGAGAGTTTGTTCCTAAATATGTAGCTATCATAGCGTGCAGTAAGTCTAGTATGATGTAACTGAATGGTCACTAGGTGCTCTTGGTTCTTAATTTATAGAAGCACTAAATGACCAGAGGTTGTCCTCAAAAGACAGAAGAAGCAAGCTTCACAAAATATGCTTATGTAAAGTCCCTCATGTAAGAATACATTGGTGATAAAAAGTGTCAGCTGCAGATGTATCTTGCAGATAGCAACATTCCAGTCTCTACAAGACCTTCCATAATTTGAAACTAATGCATATGAAAATTAATCCATACAATGATGTAAAATCTCTTTCCCATTCCCCGGGAAATCAAAATAAGATAATAACAAGATAATAGTCTTTTGATATCAACTTCCTACTAAAAATTAATCCTTCCAAATCTATACTTTTGTCCCATATTCTTTCAAGACAGTCCTTTGCATGCACTTTAACTTAAGACCTAGATTTCAATGGTATTTATTCTCAGGAAAACATGTAGCATTGCAAGCTGAACCAGTTTCCTACTGTAACGTAGAGCTGTCCTCCTAATTTGAGCATGTTGTCCCATTATTTGTAATCATACTTGAATTTTCCCTTGAAGATATGACTGAGTATAAATTAATTTGCCTTCACTGTGATTCGCCCTTCAGCACTTAAAGAAAAAATATTATACTTAGATTTTGGAGCAGAAGGGTTTAGTTCTGCTGTGACATGGAATACTCTACTTCTTGTGCTACACTGTGAGATAAGGAAGCTTCCCTCTACATCTCTGAAGCCCAAAAGACCCAGACAACTATACAAAAGAGTGAAGATACAGAAAACCTCGCATCTCACTTTCATGTCATGAGAGTAAGGCAGGGAATGGATGAGGACATTGTGCTGGGCTAGGGAAATCAGATAAACTACTCAGCTAAGGTAAGGCGCAAGGGAAGGGGGCCTTTTGTACTCTTACAGTGTATTTACAAAGGTTGTGCTCAATCCTGCACATTACAGAGCAGAAAAAGAGCCAAGGAATGTAATGGGGGAAGATAGGAAGGTAGAGAGGAGGAAATACCCTTTTCAATTTGTTTTAGATGTATTTCAAAATCCCCATGGCATCAATTCAGTATTTTTCAAAAGTTAGTTAATGATATAACCATTATAAACATTTTTTTCAAATATATTAATGTAGAATACATTTTCATATGCAAAAAAAAGTATCTTTTTCACTTAAGATCTACAAATACATTGAAAATAATTGCTTCCTTCAATAAAATTCTGTGTGTTTATATAAAATTGCCTGAAAATGCTGAAATTTATCAATTACCTCTACGGTTGCAATTTTGTAAGTTAACAACATCACAATGCTGTTATCCTAATATGTGTTATGAGTCTTGTATGCTAATTTAGGCACTGCATTTTTTGGTTAGTAACATTTTTATGGAGCAGGCTTGGCTTCTGGAATGGAAGTTTCTGTGTGTGTAGATTGACATAGACATCTACAATGAGAAATTTCTATGAGAGGTTGCTCATGAATAAGTGTCCATGAAATTGAGCCTCCATTCTTGAGGCTGTCATACAGACTTCCTGATCCAACTGCCAGTGGATTGAACACAATGAAAAGATCAATGTCTGTCTAAGGATCTTTCATGGTCTTCTATCATTTTAAGGAAAATAAATTTTTGCAAGATACATTTTCATTAAGAATTTTGATTATAATAGAAATAGAATAGAAAGAAAGAAAGTAAAAAGTGCAAGAAAAAAGAGAGTAGAAAAAGTAGGAATACAATAAAGAGAAAAGAAATATATAAAGAAGTGACTTCCAACCTTCATCACAACACGTATAAACAAATTTAGTGACTCTTCATTCCCTCTAAGGTTACAAACATTTATCCCCTATCCCATCTCTTATCTGTAGACAAATCCATAAAACATCATCCTTTCAGTCCTGGTATCAGCAGAAAGTCCATGAAGGGTTGTCAGAGGTAACAACTTATCTTGTTTAACCTTGATCAAATAATCCAACTTCATATTCCTTTCTTTTGCTTCTAACAGTCTTAATGCTTAATTCATTCAAATATTGTTGTAAGATTTGATTTCTCTTCATTTCTTCTTTGTCCCATTGCACAGAATTCTTCAAGACTTTAATAAGCCTCTTTTGTAAATCCAAAAGGAAAAATTACTGTATCCAAGTCACTCTCTTGTTTTGTCATTTGTATTTCCCTTTTAAATTTTAAAGCCTCAGCCAATTTCTTTTGTAGATCCTGTGAAACATCCTTTTCTAAGTCATTCTCTTGT